GGTATGCATGGCGGAAGAAGAACACAGCATTCCAAGACAAACACTTGCTACCCACAGTTAAATTTGGTGGTGGTTCCATCATGCTGTGGGGCTGTGTGGCCAGTGCAGGTACTGGCAATCTTGTTAAAGTTGAAGGTCGCATGGATTCCAGTCAGTATCAGCAAATTCTTGCGAACAATGTTCAAGAATCAGTGACAAAGTTGAAGTTGCGCCGGGGCTGGTTACTTCAACAAGACAACGACCCTAAACACCTACCAAAGCATTCAAGCAGAGGAACAAGTACAACGTTCTGGAATGACCATCTCAGTCCCCAGACCTGAATATTATTGAAAATCTGTGGTCCGTTTTAAAGCGGGCTGTCCATGCTCAGAAATCATCAAACCTGACTGAACTGGAGATGTTTTGTAAAGAAGAATGGTCAAAAATACCTTCAACCAGAATCCAGACCCTCATTGGAAGCTATAGGAAGCATTTAGACGCTGTTATTTCTTTTTCTGTTGGGGTGCCCAAATTTACGCACCTGCCTACTTTTGTTTAAGTAATTATTGCACACTTTCTGTAAATCCTATAAACTTCATTTCACTTCTTAAATATCACTGTGTTTGTTTGCTATTTGATATATTTAATATTGATCCGAATCCGAATTGTTCTGAACAACCAATGATACATAAAGGAAAATCTAAGTGTACCACATTATCTCTATGATATTTATATGTATATTTAAGCAGAACTAGTATAATTATAAGGATGTTATGTGAACAGGTACATAATAGTTTAAATATATGCACAGTATAAATAGTTGAGTAATTAAATAATTAGTTATTAGCTACAGTATACAGGCAGTTCCAGCGGATATATTAGTGTATGATGTCGACCAGATTTATACAACTATTATTACTAAGAGCTACTATACCTGTATAATATGATATTATATAGGACAGACATTAGATAGATCTCTATACTTCAATTTGTTTACAGTCAATTTGAATTGCTTAGGAACAAGAAGGGTGCTCTATCCATTTCTATAAAAGAAACATTCTTTGTAGGACAACTATGTTCCTGTGTATATGTTTGTGTTGGTGCCAGTGTCATTGAAAGAGAAATGCTGATGGGATATGAAGCATTACCGGGTGAATGCTGTTGGAAGAATAGTGAAACAAGATGCTCTTTTTGGTTCTTAAAAATTTAACTCTAACTCCAGAGGAGTCAGTGCCTCGCCAGCCATGAACCTCACCACACCCCACTGGTGTGTTTATCTGATCCTCACACAATCCTGAACTTATACCCAATAAAAAGGCGTTGTAATAGATAGCTGCTGAAAAAGGGGCCCACTCTGGCCCTGGTTGTCACTGTGACGTGAAGTCGTTCTCAGGTCTCCTTCTACAGATGAGGTGGGGGAAACGTTGTGGCTCTATCATATTTTATAGGTAAAATCAGAAAAAAAGTGGTCTTTCAGAGCAGGGCTGTTGTTTGCAACTTATTTAGGTACTGTATGTCATTTAAAATGAACCACACCTTCACACCCAGTCAGCCGCAGACTTAATGATCAAGGCATTAACTCAGAACTGGTTCATAATGACAGCCTGTATGTTGTCGTGCTGTCTGGTTTTTTTTTTTTCACAAGCTCAGAAAAAGTTTTTTTTTTAATAGATTTTTCCAATTAGTGTATAAGTAGAAAAAATAAAGAAATAATTTTTTTTTCTTCAGTTCTTTTCAGATCTCCATTTTAGTTTTCATGGAGCAACATTTAACAGACAACACTACAATTAATTATTCACATTTCTACATTTTGGATTTCCTAAGGAGTTGGTAATATTAATTATTTAGCTTTACAGCCATTCATTTAAATTGGCAGAAAATTAACATGAGTATCCCCTAAGTGATGAATAAAGAATTTAATAAAATTGTTTAAGTTGAGAAACATTTAAAGAATTTAGTCATGCGTCGCATTGAACATCGGTAATGGCTGATGTTTGCCTAGTTAATTGACATAGGTGATCGGCAAATAATAACATCAGTATAAGCTGTATAAGTTGTTATTTTTGCCAGCGGTATCAGCCCTTTTCAAAATTAGTGCAATTGTAAAGTAATTAGAAGATGAGTGGTATGATTATATATAAGGATGTCTAATAATATCGGTTAACCTATATTATCGGCTAATATTAGCGCAATTATGTAAAATTTTGAAATGGAAGTGAAACCACTTCACACAATGAATATGGGCAGCGGAGTGCTGTAAACAGCTGCATATATCGGTATCATATGATATCGGAACCAGAAATTAAGTGTTTGGACAATATCAGCTATCTATTTATGTCAGCAGAGAATATATATATATATATATATATATACACATAAAACCAGATTATCTGAGGCAGCCAACACAGTTATTAGCAATTATTAAATAATAGTTAATAATGGGCAATGACAACCATTGCATTAAAATGACAAGAACAGCAGTGTAAATGTTAGCTAGATATCACATTAACAATTGCAATATGTTTTTTCTACATACAATAATTCAGACAGATCAGGTTCTCTACAAAAACATGCATATATGGAAGTAGGTTGAGTAAATTAACTGTTAATAACTGTTTAACAGAAATAAGTCCATATGGCAAAATTAAGATCAGGTGAGGAAGGTTGCGATTCAAGGAGGGGATATATGTTAGTAGGTTGAGTAAATTAACTGTTAATAACTATTTAAGAGAAATAAGTCCAGATGGAAAAATTAAGATCAGGTGAGGTTTTAAAATGTAACTATCAGCTTCCAGAAAATACAAGCTACTCGGTAGCAAAATTAAACAAATATAACAATTGAAGTATCTAAATATAATTGCCAAAAGCAAGGGTTTAGAATGAATTCTTTCCTATTCCTATTTAAGTGTCATGTCTTATGCCAAAAGAAAAATCTTCAACTCAACATCTTCTATGCTCGTTTCACCAAACACTCCGAGATAACCTCAGACCTAAAGCATCTTACAATACAGGAAAATAGTTCTCAAGAACAAATAGCTAGGTAGGTCAGACAGTGACTATAATGCCTATAGATGTGGTTTCTAGTCTAGTGACTAGAAACCACAAGCTATAGGTTTGAATAGAATGTTGTAAAACAAAACAATGTCTTGCTAGAACGATTATCAACAGAAATATTGAATTAAAAAAAGTATTGAATAGATGGGGAGTGGTTGTGGAGTATATATATGGGGAACATCAGTACTGTGTGTCAAGCACGTCTATTTACAACAAGTGAGGGAGTAACATGGCAACCAGCATCCTTATCCTTTGCCTGTGTACAGTCCTCTTTGGTAGAGGTAAGATTTTATTTTTGAATTTTTTTAATAAATACTTAAATTACTTCCTGTATGTTTGATTGTTGTGACACTACAATAATTTTAACAGATTTTTAGACAAGTTTAGTTTCAACCACTTTTAACTTTGAAATGAGTCAAATCCTGAATTAAAACACATAAACATCAATGCTCAAACAGGATTGTGTAACATTATCTTTTCTTTTTTCTTATAGGCTCAGAAGCTCAGGGTGAGTTCTGCCACACATTCTACTTCTTCTTCTTTGACAAAGCGGATTTAATTATTGAAGGATGATTTGCATTTATATTTAAAGGGACAATAAAAGCTATAAAAGCTTGCTAATATCAGTAGTATAAACAAGGTAGCGGGGTAGAAGTATGTACATTACATTGTAACATACTTGGGACTGAAAATGTATCAAAAATGTTTTTCTTCTTCTTGACCTTGTTCCATATTATTAATTCAAATATTTTGGATTAGTCACAAAAAAACTTTGCTGAGACACTGGACACTTTGTTGCAACAACAGTCTACACAATCTCATACCAGTAGGATAGTTGTCAAAACCACAGGAACTAGTCTAAAGTGCAACTAAACAATGCAGAATATTGAACCACTAGCCTAGGGGTATCAAACATACGGCCCACAGGCCAAAACCTGCCTGCCTGGGGTTTATGTCTGGCCCTCTTGGGATTTATCTGACGTACTTTTTTGCATGAAAACAAAGGGGACTTTTTGTTATTTATAGGTAATCATGTTGTGATTGCACTGATCAACCTGACATCTAATTAGGTTGTTTTCGGCCCTTGAACCAACATGAGTTTGACACCCCTGCACCGGCCATCAAAAGATTTAATTATTTACAAAGCTGGAGTTGTTGATATTTCACAATAACTTCACTTCCTGTAGGCAACTGAACCTAGGTAGACCCCTTCTAAACTTTCTTGGATGAACTGACCTCAACAACAGAACATTCAGAGACTTAACCCTTGTGCGGTCCATTGCATTTTTGTACACACCATTTGTCCTTGTAATGATTTTCATCTTGTCCCAGAATATGAGTATTAATGAATATGAGGAAAAGTTGGTACAAGTTATGCAGTACAGGAACAGACTCACGCATACACAAAGACATATTGAAGGACCTTACAAGGGTTAAAAAGAACCGTTATACCCCTAAGTGACATAATGGTGTGTTCTCTTCCAGTATGCGGAACGGCACCTCTAAATACAAAGATAGTGGGTGGTGAGAATGCTGTTGATGGAGCATGGCCCTGGCAGGGAACAATTCAAACGTTGGCTGACAAACGTCATTTCTGTGCAGGAACTCTTCTTAACACTGAGTGGGCTCTCACAGCAGCCCACTGCGTCAAAGGGTAACACAAATATTCCTAACCGACATAACACAATCACTATCGCAATGATGAATTATTTTTACGTATTTGTTGAGACTTATTCTTATCCATTTCTTACGTTTTTCATTTATATATATGTATGTATACAGATAATAATGATGCTACATTTAAAAAAAAACTAACACAGTTTAGTTGCCCTCCAATTAACTGCCCTTTTCTCATGAAAATAATTTAGTTATGAAGACATATATTTAAATGATGTCAAAAAAAAGAGAAACTGCCACTAAATAATGTCTCTGCTGATCTCTTTGTTTACTTATTTTTTTTACAAATGCAGGAGGTTGGCTGCTGATATAAATATTATTTTTGGAAGACTGGCCCATGGTGCCGTCAGTGCCACTGAGACGAAAACAGCCCTTACGGAGATTATTATCCACCCTGAGTACAACGCCACAACTCATGACAAAGACATTGCCCTTTTAAAGCTGCAAACCTCTATTGTAGTCAATAATCATATCCAGCCTATCTGCCTGCCTACCACCAACAGCCAGTTTTTCACATCCACCCTTTGCTGGGCCACTGGTTGGGGAAAAGTCAACAACAATGGTGAGAATAATGACTTTTTATAATGACTATTCCGTCCTACAATTGTTAATTTACATTAAAAAAACATATACAAGTCACTCCAGAGTCTCACCAGTGCCCTCTAGTCGCTGTCAGTGTGAAAATAACAAACATGATAATTTTTAGTGGTAAAGGAGTAGCAGATACTGGTACACAAGCCTAGTGTGCCCTTTCGCAGCTGTCAGTGAAAAAATACGTAAAATTATATATTTTAATATATAGGTCACCTGAGTATAAGTTGCAAACCCAGCCAAAGGATGAAGAAAAGTGCAACTTATAGTCTGGAAAATACAGTAACCTGTGTAAGGCAATAGGAGCTGTCCACTCAGGGACACAACCAGCATCACAAAGGATGAGCTAGCTCAGTGGTTCTCCGACTTTTTATACTATATATATACACACTATAGCAGCATAGGCCTTCCCTATTAGCTTCCACCACACAGGAGAGATGTTTACAAATGTTTATAAAGATGTTTATGTTTTAATGTTTTATTAATTGTGCATGGTATGTTTCAGATTTATTCAATTGAAAATGTAAATGTGAAAATATGAATTTTCCCCACGTACCACAAGAGAGAACTCGTGTACCAGCATAGTTTGAGAACCACTGAGCGAGCCTAACATTAAATGTGAGAATTAAACCTGCAATAACCATTTTTTTAAATCAAACAAATCTGTATGAACAGTGTTTTAATGAAATTATAAAGTGTAGAGCAAGTCCATTAATATCATTGAATTTTAATGTTTCACTTTTTTTTAGTCTGGCCACACGGTGGTAGAACTAGAACAAGGTTCTAGTTGATCTTTCTGTATGGAGTTTGCATGTGCCTTTGTTTCTCTGCAGCTATTCTGGCTTCCTTCAGGCCCTAATGGGCGTGGCCCTAATGATTAGGGGATTAGGTTGATCCGACACTAAATTGACCATAGGTCGGAATATGAGTGTGCGTGGTTGTTCACCACTACACAGTATACCCTGTGTTGGTCTGGCAACTACCCCATCCTCGCCCATATACAGTTGGTATTGACCTCTACGCTCTGTTACAAACTCATTGTACTGTCCATCCATCCATCCATCCATCCATCCATCCATCCATCCATCCATCCATCCATCCATCCATCCATCCATCCATCCATCCATCCATCCATCCATCCATCCATCCATCCATCCATCCATCCATCCATCCATCCATCCATCCATCCATCCATCCATCCATCCATCCATCCATCCATCCATCCATCCATCCATCCATCCATCCATCCAT